AATGTATCCTCGCCAGCGATGGCCGATGGCTATGTAATCGACTTGTTTTTATCGCTGTGAAGGTGCGAACGTTTGTAGTCAAGGAAGCCTGAATGTGCCCAAACAAACTGGCCTTGTGAGACTGAGCATTTTTTTGACTCTACCCATCGGTCGGATCTGCTGCTGTGGGGAGCATTACTCTATAGCTCTCACGCCATAAAAGCACGCAAGCGAGCACACCACGTTAAGGTGCAGTCTCATCGCAATGGTTGGATTCTTAAATGTTACCATCATTACATGGTTGAAGTTTGATATATGTGCTGAGTGTAAATCGTTCTAACCACTCCGCATTTCTTGGTCCACGAGTGACTGTGTCATGAGTAAGCATGTCAAGAACACTGGTCCATTGTCAATGACGTAAAGTGGTGGCTGTAAAGATCTAAAGGTTATTGACTCTCACCNTGTATTTGTTGTCTTACGTTTACATCAACCGAACCCTCATGTCTTACAAAATGGCTAGCATTACCAGACTGTTGTTTCCAATTTATGTTAATAAACAAACATGAAAACAAACCCATTGAAAATATTACTCCGCATACATATGGTGTAAGGATAACACAATGCAATCGACTTTTGTCGCATTGAACGTAGGATAAGGACCAATAATTTTATAGGCACCATTTGGAGGGTAAAAAAAGTCTTAAAGACTTGCGTTTGTATCTTAACCAAGTTTTCTGAAAGGCCCAGTCAACTGCGGACTGTCCGGTAGATAGACCTACGTTGGATGTTTCCAAGGCCATTAGCTCAGTAGGGGGAACGGGTAGAGTGGGAGACACTTACGTATGTACGTGAAAATAAGGTAATAAATAGCGGTTTATCTTCCACTATTCACAAAGGCTAATGTTATGGTAAGGAATGTGTTGCGAAAACATACCCTCCAACCTCGGGGCGACTCGACCATTCTCCTAGAACGGTAGTCAAAGGTAGCGATCCCATGCCAGCAGCGGGACTGAAGGATTGCCCAGGACTCGATTTTAGAGCTAGGTAAAGTGAGATGAGAACTAACGCAATTTACCGTCAGTCTGTACTGCTCCTGCAACGTCGTGTCTTGATAGGGATGGACTGGGCGGGCTGGCCTCGCTCACGCGATCGGAATGATCCTGTGCCTCAGACAGCAGACGTGTGAGCAGTTGTTCCTCTAACACTGTGTGAAAGCCTCCAGGTTCGGTGCTACGCAGCTGCTCTCCTGGACCCGGAGGCCGATACTGTGATGAGCTCATGGGTAAATAGCCCAAACTTTGAGGAGTCACTTCAATCCATGATTCTGTGTTTGGAAAGCGAAAAGGTAGAAAAATAAATGACTTTAATGAACAAATTTCTTCATAAGGCCAGAGATTGCGAGGTGGTAATGCTGGATGGCGATGATTATATTGATAAAATGAATGCACTTTTACGGAATCCTATAAAATTCATCAAAGCATCGGGGGGGGAGGGAGAAGGGTAAGACTAAAACGGCGGCGGGACAGCAAACCAGCGGTTGGAATAAATTGAGAGATAACAATTATATCTCGAAAATTGCTTATGGAAAAATACAACCTAAGGGAACTTCCATTCTACACTGATACAGTTCACCCAAAATATACAAACCAGGTATACCGTTGAGATTAATACTTGACGAATGCTCCGCCATGCCACCCAGTTGTCTAATGGTTTTTAAATATACCGGAATCGGCCCCTAGATGAGTTTCGCGATTCGCTCTGAAAGACACCGTTTAATTCTTATGGTTAATGTGAGAGAAGAATATTGAGAGATTAGGGTGGGAACTTTAGGTGTAAATAAATCACTGTCAAAAGGAGAATCATACGCTTCGAACAACTATAGATAGTCGGCCACTTTGTTGTAGCTATACTGATGATATAACCATCGTGATACAGGAATAAACCTCGATGGAAATCAGAGTACATAAAGCGAATCAGGTGCATGTGGCTGGTAATTTGACATCAGAACCGGGATACATTTTATTTTTTCGATATATATATATATATATATTCAATGTACAAGTTTCGTGTGACTGAAAACTAAACGAAGCCTAGTCTGTCCCTCTCAGTCCGCACAAGAAACATTTACTTAGAGGACAGATTGGTTCAGGAACTGGAAATTCACTCTGGGAGTTTCGTTCAGAAAAACTTATCCGAAACACCCAAGGGACCCCTGACGATAATGAGTGGGAATTTATATATGCGACTACAAAAGGCTACAAAATTAAGTTATTCACCTGCCCCCTGAAAACAGCACACGGACGTTTCCGTATTCAATTCACCGGTCAAATGAAAATAGCATATTTTCACCTCATCTAGGATGAGTCCTCTTTTGCTTATACGATAAGGGATTTGGAGTCTTGGATACGCATTTCTTGAATACAAAACATGTCTATGCTTAAGATCTCGAGTGTACGAGCTAAATGCGCCTCTAATTCTGTGTGCATTAAGGTTCTGACATTAAATGTGGCTAGCTTGAAGGGAGATTGAGGACGAAGAGCTTCCGATGGTGGAGAAGGATTCAGTGAGACTTCCGCAGTCATGACAGAACAGCGGCAGGATTTCCAACGCAGACACCACTGTTAGTATAGTCGAGTGAAGTTCTTGGTGAATGTGAATGGGTGAAAACCAGAGCAGATGAAAGGGGTTTGGGGAAGCAGAAATTAGTGTATTGAGTAGAACTGTTATCTACCAGCAACCATTGCGAGAACGTGAGTTTTGTGATTGAAAAACGAACAGTGTTGTTCGTGTTGTGGGCTGTTGTACTACTCGGTCACCCGGTCCACAGTAGACCTTGTTCGAGGATGTGCGCTAACCTTCTTATCATATGTATAAGCCTTCACACTTCGTTGGCCAGCTACCGCCCGTCCAAGCTGGGCAGCCTACAGTCAATTAGATGCCGTCCTGTCTAAGTTTCGTTTATCTCACTGGACTAAGGGCCAAACATCAACAGTAGTCCGATAATCAGCGCAACAGTGAACTATACACTGAACCGAAACCCGAAGGAATTGCATGCCAGGTTTCTAGAAGTTATCACACAAGTGCTTCAGTCAAGCTCCAAATGTTGCATCTACGATTCGCAAACAAAACACTACGTCAACCATCACCTTGCGATCTCCTGATCGAGCCTCATTCTCACGCTTCACTCTCCGTGTCACGCCATTCGGTATCCTAAGCTCGCGGTGTTGCTCGTGTTGGGATTGCGCTAAATGTCAAGGCTGAGCGTTCACTCCTTGACTGGTTTACAGTTATTAGTTCACTGTACGCTGTACGTCTGAATGGTTCAACAAGAGTCAATAGCTACAGAACAAAGAGTTGTTGCCTATTCGCCGTATCTTTGTATGCACCGACCGATTGCAGATCGCTCGAAATGAGGGATATATTATACAAGGGTGTCTCTCGACTGCTCCTAAGTGCTACGTCAACGGACATCGTGGTAGTCGTTGGAGAGTTCAACGCTCAAATGAAACCCTCAACATGTCAGAAACCCTTCCTGCTGATAATCATGCAATCCCAGTCGATCGCATGGATGATAGGAACGTCTTCTCCAAATCTGCGCTGCCAACAAACTGATCCAGTGAAACACCAACTTATCGCACAAGGAACGACATCAACGACATCACAGCGATAAAAACAAGTCGATTACATAGCCATCGGCCATCGCTGGCGAGGATACATTCAAGACTGTCGCTTTTATTAGTCAACACAGATGGACAAAGAACATGCTCTGCTACGAGTCAGGTTCTCCCTACGTCTGCTAAACAACCAAAGAAAAACCACCGGAAACGGATGCCCACAATACCGTCAGAGATAATTGCAACTCGGTTTTTGAAGCGGATCTCTCTAATCGCCTTTCAGCATAACCATCAGTCGGACTCAATGAACACTGGACGGTAATCAAGGAAGCGATCTAAATTACAATCAAAACAGTTGCGGATTCTGGCGCACGACCAAAACACAAATGATAGATCTCCCCGAACTCGGCCGCACTGATGGACACTCAGCAATTCCTACTGATGCCAAATACGACAAAGCACGTAAATCCCTTGAATACCAGCTCATCAAAAGTCTGAGCAACGACCGCGAGAAGTGGTGGATAGGGAAGTGTAGAGAAATGGAGAAAGCTGTGTCTATCAGTAATAGTTGACATATTTTTCGTTTAATTAGAAGCAGGAGTCCAAGGAAAATAGGCTTGAGCTAATGGAAGAGTTTGACGACACGCTGATTCATATCCAGTAACGCCGTCCTGAACGTTGGGCAGAGTATTTTAAGGCACAATCTAGCTAACCGGCGTCGACACATGAACTCCCCACTTGCTTCAACTGGGCAAATAGTGCCAGTTGACACCAGTCCTCCATCTGACATGGAGGTTACCCGAGAAGTAAATTACCTCAAAAGGTATAAGGCTTCCGGCCCGGACGGGCTGTACCCGTCGGCTTTTAAAGATGGAGATTCGGCGTTGAATTTGAGTTAGCGAAACTCCGGAGAACAGTGTGTGAGATGGTACAGGTTCCAACGGATTAATGTGAATCCGTCATCATACCAATTGACAAGAATGGTGACAGATCTTCTTGTGAAAACCACAGGGGGAATCAGTTTATTCAACGTTACCTCGAAGCTTCTTGCTGGTATTATACTCGGTTGATTGTTTGCTGCACGTGAGCGGTACACGCGTGAGAACCAAGCCAGTTTTCGACCTGGTCGACGTTGTATAGATCACATCTTCACTCTTTGACAAATCTTAGAACACAGTCACTCATTTCGTAGACCAATCATCTCTATCTTCCTGAATCTGAAAGCAGCTTTCGACTGAGTCGACCGCTCTAGACTCTGGCACTGACTTTCCCTGAAGAGTGTGTCCGAGGAGTTTATTTCAATAATACAACTCGTATTTACTAATGGCCGAAGCCGACTCCGAGCTTACGGCACTTGTTCGCCCGAGTTCACCATGGAAAGTGGTGTTCTTCAGGGTTTTTCCCTCTTTCCTTTTCTATTCAACTTTGTTATAGATTTGACTACGGAAACAGCCCTATCCTCGTGCGAGGATAGTGGTATCGATTTGCTACCAGGTGGTAGACTGTCTGATCTGGAGTATACAGACGATATTGTGCTGCTAAATGAATATCCAGGTAAGTTGCAAGCTTTCTTTAACGGTTTGAGTGCTAGTGTAGCCATGTTCGGTTTGCGTTTTGCATCTTCAAAGTGTAAAATGCTACTACAAGATTGGGTTGGTCTAGCCTCCAACTTCACCCTAACTAGGGAAGTAGTTGAGGAAGTGACGAACTTTTCTATCTGGGAAGCTATATCTCACATAACGGATGCATTGACAGATGAAGCGTCGGCACGCATACAGCAGGCTTTATTGGCATTTGCCAGCTTGAGACATCTTTGGCGCCGTCGCGATATCCAGCTGTTTGTGAAGGGTCGAGTGTATGCTGCAACAGTTAATTCAGTCCTGCTCTACAGTGCAGACAATGGGCCATCACGTGAACAAGATAAACATAGATTTTCGGTGTTCGAGCACTGCTTCCTACGCCGCATTGCACGAGTCTGGTGGGGTAACCGGACAAATACTGCTGAGGTTACGCGCAGAGTTTTAGGTGATCACGGTCACCCACTGGAACAATTGGTCGACCTCCATAGACTACGGTGTTTGGCACATGTGTTGCGCATGTCACCAAATAGGTTGCCACTTCGCGCGATGTTGGCCGATGCATGTAGTGGTTGGGAAAAAGTCAAGGGCGGTCAAAATGAGATCTGGCACAAGGGTATGGAAACCCCAACCAATATAATGGTTTACATAAATCCCTTTGAATGGTGACCGCGAGATCATTGCCACCGGTGGTTAGAGTAGGTGATTGATATGGCTGATCGTCGCCACCGGTGGCATGCATGCATCTACTCGTGGTTCTTGAAACGAGAATGGCCTATCTTCTGGTTGTATGTGCTCCCAACTTTTCAATATTTTTGCTGCTATTTTGTCTCAAGGGACAAACAAAAGACAGCAACGAAAAACAGTGCATGAAAACAAATGTTTAATGGCTGCAGAAACTGAAAGTGTTACTGAAGCAATGGCGAGACATTTGCCACGTCACAGTGCTGTTCACTGTTGCACGCGGCGTTTTGTGCGGATAACACTTCTCAAATGGTTGACCCACTATAACTAAGAGCACGGTCGCTGATCGTTCGTGATTGCTTGTTTAGGGAGCGCAGGTCTACCTCTTTCATGTTTCGCTGCAAAAAGATGTTTTCCTGTATGTGATCCAGGCAGTCGCTTTGCCCA